CAATCCTGCCTGTGTCTGAGGAGGTCCAAGGAGCATGCGGGAAGGAATTAGAAGATAAAAGAACCTCTCTCTAGATTCCTAGTCAGATGAAAAGTCCTCGTGAGTGTGATCAACATCTTAGAGACAGAGGTTAACAGGTAAGGAAAGTGGGAAGGTAAACCCTGTGATCACTAGGGGTTTCAAGCACTTAGGACACAGCTCTGAGTGAGTGATGCATCCCAGAGATGGGAAACTCCCAGCCATCCACCTGGGGTCATTGTCCAAGGTGAGGGAGGAAAGGCTGAACCTGCTTGCTGCGGACAGAGCTTCAGTAGCTCTTTCCATTAGGTGCATGGTCCTGGCCTGGTGTCAAATGAAAACTTAAAGTTCTATCTCTGAGACTAGGGGTCCATGAGAGAGATGGAAGGTGCTGGTAGCAGGGAGGTAGTTCCAAGAAACCCAAAAGCTGGTTTATTGGACAGTAGAACATCAACTATCAAAATGCAGTGAAAGGACGCAGCTCCATCACACCCAAAAGGGCAGGGTCAGATTTTCCAGAAGGCTTCCAGTCATCTGACCAGAACCTAAGTTTCTCAAGGTGCGGTGCATACCAGAGCTAGGGGCACACCACAGCCAGCCGGTTCATACTAGGGTGGGTCACCCATGGGTTCCCGCAGTCCTGCTTCCTTCACTGAGGACCCTAAGAGAGAGAGGAACAGCCACACGGCTCCCGGATGGGCTGAGCCCCCACGCACCCCACAGATCAGGTCCTGAGCGTCCATATGCAGGGGACAAGGGAGGTAGGGCATGGTGGGGGCAGCTCTGCGGCGTGGGCAGCCTCTCCGAGCCGCCGTCCCATCCGCAGCTCGTTCTCGCGGCGGGGGGGGGGGGGGGGGGGATTCTTGTCTGTGCGGGGACTCCGGGGCTGGGCGAGAGGCGCACGGCTGGAGCACACCTGGCCCGGTTGGGGCAGTAGACGCCTCGGGCTCCTTGGACCAAAGAGAGTCCTGACCTCCAACATCTAGCAACTCGGAGTTGACTTGGGGCCGGGTCACCCATCAGGGGAAACTGAGGCCGGGAGAGCGGCGCCTCCCAGCGCTCCGTAACCCACCGTGCTGCTGCGCTCCCAGGGCCAAGGCCACGGCACAACAACCCTGAAGCACTCACCAGTAGCAGTGCTGGGCCTCCCAGCCCGCCGCGAAGCTGCTCAGGAACCGCGGAGATTGCAGCGGCCAGCAGAGAAGGCGGAGGAGCGGGTGGACCTGCATTCAGCGCGGCCCCGGGCAGAGGGCGGGGATTGGGCGGGGCTTCTGCCACCGTCCATTCCTGAAGCAGCCCCGGAGACTCGGCCCGCTGAGCGGTCGGTGCGCCTGCCAATCAGTGTGTGCCCTCGCCAATCATGGTGCGCCTCGCCTTGCAAAAACTGCGCTCTCCGGTCGCGAGGCCGACAGATGGCGCCGGGAGGGCGGGTTTTGCCCGCCCACACGAAAGTCCCCGAGTGGACTCGGCCCGGGCCCTGCCCCCTTTGCCGCCCCGCCTTCAGGACGGCTCTTTCTTGACCCAAGCTTGAAAGCCTGCTGGGTAACAGGTGATTGGACCCAGGAGCAAAGCTTGCGTCACCTTTCCTCCGCGCTTGCACCTTGAGGCCTCATCTTCAGACTTCAGACCGGCTATTGCAATGCTGACTGACGGCTCGCACTTCTTGCCAGGGGCCCTGATTCCTACTCATCGAGATACCAGAAGATACCAGAGGACTCCTCAATGTAGCAACAAGTACAAAAAAAAAAAAAAAAAAAAAAAAAGGGCGCCAAGTAAGTGTGCACGTGCCACCAAACACTGCTTTGAGTGATCAAAACCAAAGGCAGACTAGCACGCTTTAAAGATCAGCCAGACAATAATGCCAGGCTCAAGCACTGGAAGGCTCCCCTTTTTTTGGTCGTCCGGGGTGTCTGAGAGGTTTTGGTTTGGAGTTGGGAGCTACAGTCTAGTTCCCGTGTTCCTCCCTTCTCTGGACCGCGCAGCTCGCTGCACGGAACCTGCCCTGGTTACCTGCGGCAACTGTTCGGGCTGACAGAGATGGCACTGCCAACATGTCAGGAGGAGACAGTTCAGGTGGATTTGCGGATGCACTCCGCCCACTGGACCACTACAGGCCGACTCTGTCAGAGACACGGGGTCCACCAGATACTTTGATTCTGCAGCTGCTCAGGGTCTAATCTTCTCATGTACCCGGAGAGGCACACAGAGGAGGAAGGAAGCTCATCCCAGCAGAGTAGCTCTGCCCTGGCTCCATTTGGGGCCCTTTCGGAAGAGGCTACCCGGTTCACCTCTCTGTGAGAATGGCAGTTTCCAGGGAGGCGGGGGGGGGGGGGGGGGGGGTGAGAGGGAAGCTAAGTTCAAGAAGCAGGAGCACCAGATCCCACCTATCTTTTTCAGACCTATAGCCACGTCTTACCAAAACAAGTTTCTGGGAGTTGGTGTGTGTGTGTGTGTGTGTGTGTGTGTGTGTGTGTGTGTGTGTGTGTGTGTGTGTATGTGGTTACATTAAGGAAAAAAAAATGTCCCAGTATGGAAAAGGAAAAGTGGCTCCTGCAGCATCACATTTCCATGGTAACTAATTGTCTTAATGCATTTTCTGTTGCTATGACAGAATATCCGGGACTGGGTAATTTGCAAAGGAAAGAAGTTTATTTGGCTCATTGTTCTGGGGGTGGGAGAAGCCAGGATCAGGTAGCAGCATGTGGCAAGGGCCTTGTCCTGCATCCATGTGTGCAGGAAGAGAGAAAGAAGGGTAGGTGGCACGGGAAAAGTAAAAAAAAAAAAAAACAAAAAAACAAAAAACAAAAAACAAGACACCACACTTTGTAACCGCCTCAGTGGAAACTAATTAAATGGCAGTAATTAGTGAACCTCTCAACCTCTCACAAAGACACCAACCCCCTTAATGGCCTAATCACCTCTTAAAGGCCCCCTCCTCCTCTAAACTCTTCCTAGTGAGGAACAAGTGTTTGTGTCTGCTACTGATATAAATGTACTTTAACTGAGACTTAAAAGTTACACAGGTGTATGGGGAACTGTTTAAGGAGCACATGAGAGAGAGAGAGAGAGAGAGAGAGAGAGAGAGAGATTTAAATCAGGGTAGATACAGCTCAAATGTTTGTCATCTTTGTGATATTTTTCTTCTATTTTTGAGACCCACAGTATCGCCATAAGCACAGGGCCACTTTCCTGTGTGACATCCACCAGAGCTCCTCTCTCCTCTGACTCAGTGCCCACCTCCCACCTCTCTCCATCCCACCTCCTGCAAACCACAGCTAAACCACACACCTGTTTCCTCCTCCTGGGAAGCGCTTTCCTCCCAATTATCTCTTGATCATTTAAAAGTTCTTTAAAGACCAATTTGTGAAGTTTTTGGGTTTTTTTTTTTCACACTTGGGCCACCTCCCCTCCATCTGGGATGGCTGGGGCTTGGCCCACCCTGAGGATTAGCCGCCTGTTCACTCTTGCAAGGCCCAGCGCAGAGAGGCCTGCTCTAGCTCGAAGTTGTTTGCTCATTCCTTGTGCCCTCTCAGAGCTTGCATGGCCTGGTCATCCACCGCTGCTGGCCACTGTGCAGGAGGTCACAGCAGCCGCCCTCAGGATGCTGCACTAGCCGACAGACAGAGGCCACAGTGGTCCAAGCTCATAGAGAGTACAGATGGAACAAATCTTCCCATGCCTAAGGGAAGAGAGATTTTTATAAAACTGCCTGACTGCTCAGAGAGTCTCAAAATGTGGCTCTATGCTGGCTTCACCTTGGAGCTGAAAAAAAAACAAACAAACAAACAAAAAAAAAACAAAACACAAAGTCATGAAAAAATTTAAAAAGAACAATGGAAGTGGGGGGCAATTAGCAAACTAGAAGATAACTGGAGGAATGGACACAGTATAAGGAGGAGGAAACAGCAAAAAGGGACTGGGAGGGTGGCTCAGAGCTAAGAGGTCCTACTGCATAAGGCTGAGGACCTGAGCTTGACTCTCTGTCAGCCATGTAAAAAGTTGGGTGCAGCCACACATTTGCCTGAAACCATAGCTCTCTCAGTGGTTAGAGACAGGAGGATCCCTAGAGGCTGCTAGCCACCAGTCTAGCTCCAGGTTCTGTAGGAGACCCTGTCTCAAGGGAATAAGGCAGAAATTGATAGAGCAGGACGTCCTACCTGCTGCTCTGGCCTCTGCACTCGCAGAGACATACAGGCACACACATATACTACACACCTTGCATATATGTGTTGCACAGACATTCATACATTCATACACTGCAAAGATGAGCAGCAGGAAGAGGAAGGGAAAGGGGGAGAGGAGATGATGCTCTCAAAGACATCCCAAGAGGAGTGACTTGCAATAAACAGAAGCCCCACTGGGAACTGGAGGGAAAGCAAAGGTGAGAGAAGCTGCAGCTATGCTCTGTGACCTAAGGAAACAGGGAGAGCCTTGTGGGATGCAAGGAAGGGTCACATCCGAAAGGAGGAGAATCCGAGTGGTGCCAAGTTTCTGGGGGGACTTTGGAGCAAAATCTGGGCACTCTGGTCATGACCAAGGCTCTCTCTCCCTTGTAGTGACAGGGCTCATCCATCAGGCACAACAAAGAAAACGTGCAACATGGCAAGCAGCCATGCTGAGCCTTGTTTTAGAGGGAAATAGCCGTGAAGTTCTGCTCTGGCTGTGACATCCAGACACGGGGAGAGCACTAGACTGAGCCAGGAACAGGAAGCAGTGGCCAGCAGTGGTTCTTCGCTCTGATTTGATCTGAGCCAGTAACTCCCTGCTGGGCCTGCCAGGTGGGGAAATATATACCACAGGCTCCCAGGGAAGTCTGTATTAACTACAACCATGAAGTACAATGTTCTCTCAGAGAAGTCAGGACTTTCTAGGATTATATCTGATTGGGAAGAGGAAGGAAGAAAGGAAAGAAGGCAGGCAGGGAGATAGTCTAGTTTGGTACTTGGAGAGAAAACAGGGAATAAACAGCTTCTTGTGGGGTACCACTGACATTTCTTTTTAATGCTTTAAAGGAAAAAAGCATGTGTGGCTCAGGAATCAGAAACTTGTAGTTAGTGGGAAAGTGGCAGATAACTTCTGAATTAATGTAGAAGTTAAGCAGGGCCAGAGGACACAGCAGGAAGAAGGCTTGAGGAGGTGTCTTCGTGAGGGTTTCTGTCACTGAGATAAACACCCAACACTTTGGGGAGGAAAGGATCTATTTCTGCTTGTGTGTCCGCAACAGTCTGTTGTGAAGAAAAACAGGAATCTGGAGGCAGAAGCAGAAACAGAAGCCATGGAGGAGTGCTGCTTACTAGCTTGCTCCTTATGGCTTGCTCAGCCTACTTTCTTACAGCATGCAGGACTGCCTGCCTGCCTGGTCTTCCTCCCACCTCCTAATCCCGATTTCTTTCCATGATGTTCAGATTTTTGACTCAAGCCCCACTCCACCCCAACTCCCTTTTGCTGACAACACTCACTGACTTCTTCCCAGGTCCAGGTCTAGGCACTGGGCTACACCCGAGCTCACAGACACTGAGATTCTTGTGAACTGTCTTCAGGAGAGCCGGTCAGGCCACTGATATGCTAGGAAATGAATCAATACTATCAGGTCCTGGTTGCTGAATTCTGGGAATGGGACCATGCAGATTTGATTAAGTTAAGAGTCCAGGAGTGGTTTGGGTGTTGAATGGGCCTTAGATGTACTCACTGTTGTCGTTCTAGAGAGAGCAGCAGGTTGGGACTGTATGGAGAAGATAAAGCTGGGACAAAGAGAGGTCAAAGATGCTGGATTTGAATGTGGTGGCCACTGTCATCACCAGAAGCTGGAAGAGGCAAAATGACTTTTCCTTGGTGACAACCGCTAATAGTGACTTCAGAGAGCTGGTTCCAGAATGGTGGCAGGTACATCTCAGTGGCTGGAAGCCATGCAAAGGAAATGGACACAGTCAGCGACAGCACGCCAGGATTATGACCCTGTAATAACACCTAGCCAAGTTCGCATACATAAGCATAGGTGGGGCGTGGAAATACTGATCTTTCGAAAGGATGGCCTTGGGAGGAGTGTGGTCAAGCCCTTGGCAGTTAAACTGACATTCACCAAATAAAAGACAGGAGAAGCAAGCAGCACTGAACACTGTGTCCCCTGGGTGACTGGGTCAAATGATTTAGAGCCTTACCATATTTATCCCACAGCCTGAATCTTGGACATTTAGCCCTGAACTTGATAGAGATAAATACAGGGAGTGGTGTGGAGTTGGGAGGAATAGCTGCACCAGCAACCGATAAGCTAGGCCCAGGAATGTGCATTTTATTAGGCTCCCTGGGGATTCTGATATATATAAGGCCACTGTGCTGGCTAGTTTTATGCCAAGTTGACACAGGGAAGAGTCTCCTGGGAAAGAGAGAACCTCAGATGAGAAACGCCCCACCAGATTGGCCTGTGGACAAGTCTTTAGTGCATTTTCTTGATTACCAATTGATTTGGGAGGGCCCAACTCATTTCGGGTGGTGCCATTCCTAGGCAGATGGTTCCGGGGTATATAACAAACCAGGCTGAGCAAGCCTTGGGGAGCAAGCCAATAAACAGCGCCCCTCCATGGCCTCTGCACCAGGTTTCTGCCCTACTTGAGTTCCTGTGCTGATTTCCCAGTGACAGACTGTGATGTGGAACTGTAAATGAATACATCTTTCCCTCCACACGTTGCTTTTGGTCACAGTGTTTTATCATAGCAATGGAAACCTAACTAACACAGACACTTCACCCATAACTGCCAAGCTGGCATAGTGAATCCTAATGCAACTGGTCATCGTGCTGGCCAGCAATGTAACTGCCATCAGAGTAATAATGCAGAACCCTACCCCAGACCACCGAGCTCAGAGCTTCACTCTGAGAAGAGACCTGTGAGAGCTGGGGACACCATGGTAGGCAGGAAGCCCTCATTCCACACCACACTTGGGAAACATGTCCCCACCCCAACCTCTGGGCTAGAAGGGTGGATCCCACAGTAGTCCTGGGAAGATGTGCACCTGAGCATCTTGACCATTTAGCAAGTTCTGGGGCTACCCAGTCATGCTAAGCTCACCCCCTCCCCAGTTCCATGGCTTGTCCCCCCCCCCCCCCCCAGGCTTTGGCTGTATCCAGTTGATTTTGCTCTTTGGGCTCCATGGATCTTCCCGACACCCTGTGACCCATCTGTCCCTCCTGTCAAAGATGGAGGTTCCTAACAGTCACACTGCACAGCTGCCGAGTGGCAGAGCCTTTGCTTTCCCATCCTCCTCTAACCTTTCCTACCTCTGTCATGGCCCTGGGCTGTGTCCCCCATTCCCACCTTTCTAGCTTTCCCTCCTTCACCCAAGTGGTGCCCACCTCAGGCTTCTGGGGATACGAGCAATGTGAGTTTGAGTTGGTGATGGTTGCACAAGCTCGTGTCACAGGGCTGTGTGTTACATCGGGCCCATGACTCCCAACACCCCCACACTCCCAGCGTGCACACACACTCCATTGTCTTTCAGAGTGCTCGGCCTCGGTGTGAGTCTGAGTCGTGATTTGCCCACCTCTGAAGGCAGAGAGTGACAGCCACCCGTGTAGCGTTTGCTACACGGTGAGTCACGCAGCGCAGCGGGAAGTTTCATGTGGGGAGAGTGTGGGGGAACTGTGAGAAGGGCGAGGCCCCTCGGAGGAGGACCGTTGTCTGAGGACGTCTGCTCCTAGGCAGCCCACGTAGTCACCAGGTAGAGGCAGGTGACTTTCTGTGCCCAGGCCCTCACCCACGTCATGTGTAATAGGTAGAGACTGTGAAAGTCCACATGGGCCTTGTGCTTCAGGGGTTCATGTCCCAGCCTGTCACAGAGACTGCGGCAGAAGCAGCACCACAAACTGAGCGTGTCAAAGTACCCAGCACGGCATGTCCCTGCGGCCATCTTGTCCTCAGAAAGGGCAGGAAGGCTACAGCTATGTAGACAACCATTGCTGTCCTCCATAGGCCTCTCTGCTACTACGGCAGGGAAGAGAGGGTCTGAGGCACCCTCACCCTTGCCCTGAGGGGCCGGTGGACCAGAAACTATAAATAGCAGAACTTGTTAACCTGGGAGGGGCAGAGCCAGTGAGAAACAATGCTGGTGCAGATTCCTGCAAGGAGAAGGTTTGCCTTCAAGAGTGAGCAGCAGTCAGGGGAGGCTCCTTGGAGGAGGTGCTGACTCCAGCTCCCTTTATCCTCTTCCTCTGATTTTTAATGCACTTCATGGTTTGAAGAGGTTTAAGCTTCATAGTAAAACGGATCAGAGAGCTGACCATGCCATCATCCTTCCCTCTCTCTACTCAGTCTCCCTGACTGTGGACGTCCAGCTCTCTGCAGTACCAGCCAGTCATTATTTCCCTGGAGCTGGACCTTACCTCTGGCCTCTGGGTCCTGGATGCTCTCTGGGTTTAGACAAAGGTATCATGAAGGCTCAGGAAGAACTCATCAGTGGCCTAGATGTCTAGTCTATATACAGTTCCTTTGTGCCCACTGTTCTTTCCTGGATGTCACAGAGCTGGTATCAGGCAACAGCCCAGTGCCCGTCTTTCTCTTGGCATCTGCAGCTAGATTTCCTCCTCACAGCCCCATAGTTTTATCTCCCCTAGTGCCAAGTACCATGTCATTGTCAGCAAACCCCAAAGCTCCTTTACCTGGTCACAGCTCGAGGCGTCTTAGTGGTTCTCAAGGACAATTGCCTTTAAGTCAGATGAGGCAGGATGGGGACATGAGTGAGCCTGGCCCATGAGGTACCCTTTGACCTGCAGCAATCCCATAGTCCTCTCTGAGCACCTCCTTAGTAGACTCTGGGCTGCAGAGCTGACACAAGGCAACAAGGCACATGGTGGTCTGTCAGAGTTAGTGTTCTGTCATCACTCCAGGGGTCAATGGCACCCCTCCCTGTGTGCTTGTAACATACCTGATGGGTCATTTAATCCTCAGGACGACCCCAGGAAAAGGATGTTGTTCCCATCAGAGACCAGGGATCCAAGGCTGTGAGAGGTTGAAAGGCATGCCCAGAGCCACTATGGGACACTGGCTCCAAGTGTCCCCAAAGCCTGTTTCGACAATGTGCCCCATCCTCGATGTTCAAAACCCAACAGGTGGGCCTGGAACATTTCCTGTGGCTCTAAAGAAGAGACACTGAGAATGTCGTACACACCCAGGTTGCAGGTTGGGGGTGGTGCATGGCACCCACCCTGCTTCTGCTGTGCACGTGCTTTCAGCCCCAAGTCCCCACTGTCATCTTTACAGAGCCCAGAGCTGGTGGGAGGGGAACGCCTTGTTCTGGGTAGCAGGAGACAATAGAGGAAACTCTTCAGCGATACAGAACTTAAAGATTTGAGGAGGAACTGAAAATTGCCCAATTCAGAAGCTTTCCAAACTTCCAACGCCCTCCAGGCTCAGCAGCAGCCTTCACGACCACTCAAACCTGCGGAGCCATGAGGAGAGGGTGGGGGCTTCTGACGCTGGCAGGAGCCTTTTGGATAGTTGAGATGACCTTTGACAACCCTTTGAGTTCTTCATATAGTCTTCATATATGCCATCAGATTTATATCTGGCAGAAATTTTCTCCCACTGTGCATCTGTCTTCACACTGTTAATTGCTTCTTTGCTGTGCACAAGCTTTTAAAGTTGCTGTGATCCTCTTTGTCAGTTCCTGCTATTACTCCCTAGGCATTTGGAGTCCTTTGCAGAAAGCCTTTGCCAGTGCCAAAAGTCTTAAAATATGTTCCTTTTGTTTTCCTGTAACTGCTTCAAAGTTTGAGGTCTTACATGAAGGTTGCTGATCCATTCGAAATTGATTTCTGCACAGGGTGGGAGACAGGGTTCTGGTTTCGTCCTTCCCACGTGGATATCCAGTTTCCCCACACTTGTGTTGAAGAGTCTGTCTTTTTCTGCAGTGTGTGTTTTTGGCCCCTTCCTCAGAAATCCGGTGGCTGAAGCTTCTGTGTAGGTCCTGCGTCTGTCGGCCTGCTTGTTTGTGTCTATGACAGTGCCACGCTGTTTCTGTTACTATGGCTCTGTTGCATAGCTCAAATGTAGATACTGTGATATCCCCAGAACAGCTCTTTTTGCTCAGGATTGCTTTGGCTATTCAGAATCTTGGATATTTCCATTTGAATGTTATGTTTTGTTTTGTTTTTAATTCTATTTGGGTGCAGGATGACATTGAAATTTTGATGGAGAATATTGAACCTGTAATATAGCCATTTTACAATATTAATTCTGCTGGTCCATATGTGAGCATGGGAAAGTCTTCCCATCTTCTGGGGGCTTCTGCAATTTCTTCTTTCAGGGTCTAAAATTTTAACTGTAAAGATCACATAGCCCCTTGGTTAGGTTATCCCCTGTTATGTAATTTTTTGAGACTATTGTGAATGGGAGTGTTTTCCATATATGTGTGTGTGTGTGTGTGTGTGTGTGTGTGTGTGTCCCCATTATTGCCATTTCTAAAGATTATTGGGGTTTTGTGTTGATTTTGCATCTACTTTACTAAATGTGCTTATTAGGTCTAAGTGGTTTCTGATTTAGTCTCTAGGCTGTTAAATTTTATTTTAATTTAAAAATTGTGTCTCTGTGTATATGCAAGGACACAAGGCACCCATGTTTTCAGATAGCAATAGAGAAACATGATAGCTAAACACACAGGCTTTTTTCTTTGATGGGAAGGATGTGCAAGCCTGTTTCCCCTCCTGAAGGCCGGAAGGGATGTTGTTTATTGGTCTTGTAGTCCTTTACTATCTGTAGACCCTCACCTGAATAACCCATTCTTACGAAGGGTTCCATGTACTTTGCAGAAGAGCTTTTATTATTAAGCTTATTGTAAACCTTTCCTCCCCGGGCCCTTATTCTGAGCAATTTCTCAGTCCATAGAGCCCATTCTTATGAAAGAGGTC